TCAGAGAGTATTTCTCTCAGGTCTCTCCCTCTCCACACTGACTCAGAGTGCCCGTTTGTCACATGCTGTGGTGAGTCATTGCCAGGGTAACACCCAGAAAAGCTCGAAGCTGCAGATGACTCTGAGCTGTCCAGTATTCACAGAGCCCGTGTCCAGCTTTCTGGTGGAAATACAACGTGCTAAGCCATGGAGATTTTGAGACCTAAGAAACCAACCTTGCACAGTGCCTAGGATTGTGGGATGGGACAGGATAGAGTCAGTGGGATGCTTATGACTGCCCTCTTCCCTGCTTCTTGACATTAGTAATAGCAGCTCTAGTGATGGAAACTGAAACCAGTTGCTCCATCCTCTGGGTGAGGAGAAGAGGAGGAGGGGGGACTGAACCACTGCACTCTTGGGGGCTGTGACTGCAAAGTTGTCAGGTCCACTGTCAGATTTCCCTAGGGCAAAAAAAAAATATGTACAAAAAATATCCAAACATCATTATCTTAATTTTTATGTACTGTTCACAGTACGGAAGTGTAAAACCTGGAAGAAGCATAAAGGTATGAACTCTGTGTTTGGGAATTCAGCAGCAGCAACCTGAAGGGTGCTGAGGCACCCTGACAGCATGGGCCTGAGATCCAAAATACTTGAATCTTGCATTAATCTTAAAAAACTTATTGTTTCCTTAAGGTAAAAAGTCAGCTAGAAGAAAAAGAAGGGAAAACCTTTGATGTCTTTACTGCAGTGGAGTATAAAACTCAGCTGGTTGCTGGAATAAACTACTTCATCAAGGTAGAGAACACTGAGAAATCTATTTTAATTTTTAAATTAATATGTATAATATTTGGGATGGTGGGATGTTTGTTTTATTTCCTTTACTTACCTGGAGAGGGATGTTTATGATTTGGCCTTAACAAGAAAAAAATCTGTACTTTAAAATAACCCAACCTAATCCACCCTCCACACACACACCTCCCAGCCCATCTCCCTGCCTGCATTACATGGAGGTAACTTCTCTAGTTTCATAGTGATTTTTACTTGTCCGTTCGTTTGGGAAACTCGTTTTTGGGGGATAACTGCACATCCATGATGCTGAGCACTGACTTTGCATTCATTGATGTGTAAAGATAGAGTGAAGCATCAAACCTGTGCTTCCTCTGCCTCTAGTGATGCCACACACAAAGCCAAGCAGCTGTGATCAAAGCATTGAAGTGCTGCTTGTGCCAGGTAAGATTAGAGCATTTTGCATGTATTTAATGTATCAATCACTTCCTGGTAACTCTAGTTCCCCACCTGGACATTCCCTATCTCTGGCAAAGGGAAGATTAACAAGCATAGAAGGATTTAGTGGCATTTCCACAAAGTCATGACTCCCAGTCTGGTTTAAAAAAAATTACACCACCTTCTGAGATGATGTTTTTTTCTTACCACCTCTCTGCTTCTCCATACTTAAAACGCTAGTGTACACTATCCCTGTGGTTGAAGGGGTGTTACTTTGTTGGACTGTTACTGTGTGGGACTGTTAATTTGTGGAACTGACTGGTTTTTCTTCTTTGCAGGTCCATGTTGGCAATGACGAGTTCATTCACCTGCGGGTGTTCAAAAGCCTTCCTCAAGAGAACAAGCCACTGAGTCTCCACAGTTACCAGAGCAGCAAGGCTAAGCATGATGAACTGGCTTATTTCTAGCAAGCTGATCCTGTGCATTTTCCTACTTGTTTCTTATGTGCATTTTCTATAGGCTGCAAAACTTTGATTCCTGTGCCAACAAAGGAGAAAAGAAAGTGTCTTTTCTTTTAAGCATAATGTTGGAAAAAATCAGTTTATGCCATTCCCTTCCTGTGCAATATCTACATTTGAGAGTTGCACGGCTCTTCTGTCACCTACACTAATGCAAACCCAAGCAGCTGCACTGGCTTCAGTGCAGCTTAACTGGAATGCTGTGGCTCTGTCCAGTTCGTGGACTTCCTTGGTCTGGAAATGGGAAGGGGAGTGACACTCATGTAGTTTACAGCAAACAGCAAGAGGAAAACCAGAATCTTTTCTGTACTGTTTTGCAGCTGTGAATATATCTGTAGATTCAAATTGTAAGATGTATTTTGTTGGCAAAGACCTGAAGAGAGATATGAGTTGAAGCAATTTTGAAAGCAAGAGAAAAGTAAGATTATAGTCCTCTGAAACAAGCATTTCCCTTGGTAATGGTGTTGCATTCTCTTGCAGCAGTAGGTTATAATGTCCAGTAGAGGGTGTATCACAGAGTCAGAATCACAGAATCCTAGGGGTTGGAAGGGACCTCGAAAGATCATCTAGTCCAACCCCCCTGCCAGAGAAAAAACCCCAATTTACTTATTTTCTCAGTCCTAAGGAAAAGTCCTGGAAAGGAACTTAAGCTGAACAAGCATTTCTGCATTAATAACAATAAATATTTCTTTTAAATTGAGATGGCCTATTTGACTAGTGTTTCACTGTTCTCTTTACTCTTTTTCAATATTGACTATATCTTCCTCAGAGTTTTTTTCCATGTCTGATTTTCATATTCCAGGTAACCTTATGTTTATCCTATATTTTAATTAGAAAGACTTTATTTTAATCTGGTGAAGGACAAGAAAGGCAATAAGAAAAGCCAGTATATTAGCAACAAACACTAAGGAAAATCTGGGCTCTCAGTGCTCAGTGGAGCAGGGGACCTGCTGACAGAAGGCATGGAAAATGCTGAGACATTCAGTGCTGTCTTTTTCTCTGTGTGTATTGGTCAGACTTGCCTTCAGGAATTCCAGGTCCCTAAGATGTGTGTGAAAGTCTGGAGAAAAGAAGAATTACAATGGCAGAGCTGGATCAGGCTAGGGGAAAATTTAAACAAAGTGGACTTAGTGCTGTGGCACTTGAGGGGATGCACCCATGGATGCTTTGGGAGCTGAGGTGGCCAGTCTTTTTGCCAGGCCACACTCAATACCCTTTGAAAGGTCATGAAAGGAGAAATTGTGCTTCATCAGTATGGTTGGAAGCCTGCTATGGTGAGGTAAGTATCAGGAGAGGAGCTGTGGCTATTTACCCTGACTTCAGTAATGCTTTTGAAACTGTCTGCCATAACATCCTCATAGACAAACTGATTAAGTATGTACTAGAGAATTGGACTGCAAACTGGCTGAACTGCTGTGCTCAAAAAGGCAGATGCCCCTGGGAGACAAGGGGAAGAGGGGGGGTCTGGAAAGAGCCAGGCTCTGCTCAGGAGTGCTCAGTGCAGGGACAGAGCAAGAGGCCATAGCCACAAACTGAAATATGTAAATTCCATGTAAATAAAGGGGGGAAAAACCCCAGCAGTGGAGCAGGTTGCCCAGAGAGGCTGAGGAGGTTCCACTGATGGATAGCACCAAAAGCCTGACTGCACACAGTCCTTTGCCACCTGTTTTAGTTGAGCTTGCTTTGTGCAGAGGGGCTGAACTCAATCACCTCCAGTAAACTCTTTCAACTGTATCCAGACTGTATTTATTTGTGTGTTTGTGTATTACTGTGTATAACAGGTCAGAAAATGCTGTAGCCAAGCTTGGAAAGTCCAGGGAGGACTTCAGTTGTTTTGCTTGTGATCAGCCCTGTGAGTCCTCACACACTCCTCTAATATGGAGTAAAAGGAGAGAGTGAAGTCTGGCTTATTATGGCACCTCTTGTTTTGCTAAGATAGTGTAGTTTTGGAGAAACAGGGTCTTTTTAGGTGCCAGTAATTTCCCACTCTGAAGTGTTCTCACAGTTCAAAATGCTGAGCATTACCTCCAGCTGTTACACTGTGAGAGGAAGTTAGTGGTGACAGCATGAAACTTGATTCATCTCAAAGATTTGTAACTTGTGACTCCAGGAGAGGACTCTTGTGAAAACAATTAGATGTACAAGGGAAGACAATTTCTAGTCACGAGGGGCCACATCTTCACACTTTGAGGAATTAAAGCAGCTGCTCCAGGATACTGTCATGCAGAGAAAGGCACAGCTGCCACATTTTTCTAAGGCACTGGATGCCTGTGGCAACTACATGCCCATCCTTCATGAGCACACAAAAACATGACTACATGCAAGGCAGGGCCTGAAACACATTTACTGTCTTGCACCTGAGCCTCAGCTCCTTTGCAGGAAATGCAAAGGCCTTTTCTTTCATGTCACTTTACATGTTAGTAGTCAGGCTGTATTACTGATACTCTTGGTATTTGCACCCACTTTTGTAGACAGCTGATTTATCATAAGCAATCCAAAGAACTTGTGTATCTGGAACACAAGAGGTTTAATTTCTGCCAAATCATTTAGCCTTTTCTTGTTTAATGCAACAACAGGAAAGTACTTTTGTTGTGGACTGAGCTTGCCCTCTACCTTTGTCACCTCACAGCTCAGCTGAAGACTGCTCTCACTGCAGGTGGCTGATGCTACAAAGAAACGAAAAGGAATGAACTCCACAGATCTCCACTAAAGCACACCCTCGAAGGCAGGACAGTTGATCCCTGCTCCAAAAGCTGATTGTTGAGCCCCAGCTGTCTCACCTCCTTCAAGCTTCTTGTTCCTGCCCCACCACCCTGCTCCCATAGTGAAGCTAAATTTATAAAACGGGACACAGCTGGGCTTCTCAATTCCCCCTTGCCAGAAATTTTCTCTCCCGTACACTTTCTGAGGAATGGCCAACAGTTGGTATTTAATCCACTTGAAGCAAACTCAATAAGCCACACGGTGAAGCACATAATCTGTTAAGGCCTCAAGTATACTCAGGAGGCCCATGTTTTGTCTTCAGAGGATGCCTGACAGTGTTCTGGAAAGAGGTGCTGAAACAGGTGTGCTCTTACACCTATAGTACCCTCAGGTAGCAGAAACAGGCTTGCACCATATTTCAGAGCCTACCAGAGCTTTAGCCAGGCAGCAGACCTAGACATGAGAGACAGCAGATGAACCAATAGCTTTCAAAACTTTATTTTCCTGAATTCACTGACACAGGCAGAATCGACATGCGATTTGCTGAAGTGAGGCACCATTCCCCATCATCTCTCAGAAGTAGGTCAGAGGATCATCTCTAGTCTTGCCAGTCTGAAAGCTGACAAGGCTGGGACCTTGGTTCTCATGAGGAAGGGCCTGAAACACCCTTAAGTGGACATAGTCATCATCAGCAACTTGGACCTAGAAACCAAAACAGTGGGAAAGTGAGTTTCATGGGTGAAGCAGGTTCAAACAGAAGGGTGCTCTTACATACTTGGAATACCGTTGCTCAGGAGCTTAATTTTAACTGTATTTCAATTTTGACTTCAACAGCTCTTAACACAAGTCTGAATAGTAACTGGTGGTAGAAACTGTTTACAACTGTAGAGAACTGTAATAAAAACCTTCAGACTCATGTGAATGGAAAATGAGTAGGACTGTTTGGGTGCCAGAACACCAGAAGGCACAAGAAGAGAAAGGTTCTGATCATGTTCTGTTTTGGTCGTCAAGATCCCAGTGCACTGTGCTGCTTCACTAACTTCTCAGCATCATCTCATTTGAAGACTACAAAGTACCTTATCAGCTCCAATTATTTAAACTAGTCATAATTGTTTGGCTGTTTCCATTCAAGGAAAAGTAGCTTTCCTATTGTCTTTGTGTCCTCCAGTTTTGTTAATTATGATTAATTTGAAATCAGCCTGAGGATCTGATGCAGGGCAGCAGATAAGAGACACTGAGTAAACCTTAATGACTCAGGGGTGGGGGAAGATGCAGAGATAGTATCAGCTCCTATAAGGTATAGAAAGAGCTATCCAAACACAGAACATGGTCCTAAGAAGCAATGACAACCTGCAAGCCAGGATCCCTTGTCTGCAGAATTACTGCAAACACATCAGTGCCTGAACAGACAACTCGATATGTCTTGGTGCTTGTGGGAGTGAGTGGCTGAAATAATTTTTTAAAATAAACTCACCTCCCCCACCAGAAAGTCCTCATATAAAGACTTGCTACAAAGTTGTGCATGATTTTGTACATACGGAGCTAAGCATAACAGGTGCTAAAACTCTGCGAGAGGTATATAGGGAAAGTTTAATGCCCTGGGCTCTAAGAAGCCTTTACATGCTTTCCAGTGGCTGCAACGTGGCACTATGTTTGTCTTGGTCTGGACTACACCTCAGCTGTAAGTCTGGTGGCAAAATATTAGTTGTGTGGAAAATTCAGAAGTGAAAAAAGAATGAATCTTGTGACAGAGCTCATTCCACTGAATGCTAAAATGAGTAACTTTCCTGTCACTTGGAAGATTGAGAAAGAAGAGGCAAATCTTATGCTTTCAGTGTTATAAGTGGATCTCTTCCAAGCCCAGTAATGTGTCAATCTTCATTTCTGAACAGTTTGTTCATGAGGCTTAGCATGGACAGCAGACGTTTTACATTACCTACGTCAGCAGTAAGATGGCACTAAGAGAAAAAATGCACCTGGGAATGACTTCTGGCTTTATTGCAGCAT